CTACCTGCTTGGCAGAAAAAGCACTCCACAGCCCCTGCAATGCTGGCTCTCAAGCTCACCGGTTTAAGGTTACATTTTGACTTCTCTTCACTTGGAGTACGACTGAAAAGACCGCTTGTTCTGGCAAGAACGCTGGAAGAGATTCAGTGTAATACGGGTGAGCGGAGCAGCTATCAGCATCTCAGCAGGAGCCGTTCGGGGACGTGCTTCAGTCTCATACTTAATATCCAACATTGCTTCAGTCTTGCCTGAAATTTCTCTCCCCTTCCCACCCCCACAGGAGTTACTTTACTTTTCGATGAATGAGTACTGAGTTCAGGAAACCAAAGAAAGTCAAACATATCACAGAGGGGTATTAAGCAAGCCTCTTGGAGCATTTCTCCACAAACCATAACCCTTACTTACAAAAAAGCACCCTCAAAAGACAAAACCCTGCCTCCAGATGCATAAGGCTCTCCCCCCTGCCCTTCAGCCACAGACTCCCTAGAAGGAGACGTGATGGTTTGGGGAGATGTGATGGTTTGGGGATACTGATTACAACCGTCTCTCTTAGAGACAGGGTTGATGGACTATGAGTCGATTCCTACTGACTCAGTAAACCCTTTAGAGTTCATAAGCTCACAGTTCAAGAAGCCAAGGCAAGGAAAGATAATACTTTTATTTACAGCATCTTTTATCTTTTTCTTTACCACCTGCCTGCCTTGAGTTGAACGTGTAAGGAGCTTCCAATAGCAACTGACAACTCGATACCAAGATGAGCCTGCAGTCTCAAGTAGGGTTATCACCTAGCATTTCCCCTCCAGCACACAAGGGAACTAGCAATACTTTGTATTCAACAGATATTTTTCCCGTCTTTCCTCTCAGAGGGAGGCCCAGTTAAGTGCTGAACTGTGGCAATTCCTCTCATGAAGGATTTTTAACCCTGCTTTTAGAAGTTAGTATATAGAATGATGGTCAAGCAGAATCTTTCTCCCTCACTTCCTAAGTTTTCACTTCACACATTAAGGACAGAAATTTCAAAAGGATCCAAAAGTAACTGAGTTGCTTATTGTGGCTACAAAATTCAGCAAATCATATATATTTTAATTCCTCTATTAAATTTACATATATATATTCACACCAATATTTTTATGCGTATATACACACAGAAACACAGAAACTGTAGTCCCCATTCAATTTCTGCACAGGTAATTACAGTTCGACATTCAAAATAAGACAGGATCAAATTCCAAATGCACAACATTCATATAAAAATAAATCCAGTGCACTACACAGAACTCAGGATGGTGCTATGCAGATTAACCCAACCAGCCTGTTTGCCTGATAGCACTACAGATACACCAAACATTTGCTTCTCTTCTGCTGCTGTTTGATACAAGAAAAGTTCCTTCATTCAAGTTCCTTCTCTAGCCTAAATTTCAGGATTACTTTTCAACAACCTCCCAACAACTGAAGAAGAACACAACACCCCTTAGCTTTCATTTAAGGCTGCCTCCCGCCCGCCCCACCGCTTCCCTGCAGGTCTGTCAGTGAGGACTTTAACTAAAAGTTCTGTAAACAGTTATGGAGGAAACTGAATAAAATATCGGCAGTTAAAGTACATCCCACAAAACCAAGCTACAGCAGTGTTTTCATACTAGTGTTCTAGCTTGATTTTAGCGCTCGTCTGTTTAACAGTGACAAACTCTTCCCACAGGGAAGTGGCAGTTCACAGGTAAGAATATGGCAGTCTTTTGAAACGTCTTTTCTACCTTGTATTTTTCGATATAAATTTAAGTCAGAGAACATAAACAAAAACCATTTTTTGAAGGAAAGAACAAAAATCCCATTTTCATTTCACTGTGACCTGCCACATGCACCGGTGCCCCCGAGGAGGAGGTGGTGGTGACAGAGGAAGGTTCCGGAGCGTCCCCTCAGGTCTCGCTGCAGGGCAGTCAAAGTCCTGCGTGTAGGTGGTCACAGCCTCTCGTCTGGAGTTACCAAATCCTGCCTACCTTTGGTTAGCTTTCCTAGGGACAGCCTCCAGATTTTCTCTTTTACCTGAACACTAGCAGGTACCACGAGCAGACGCTCAGGCTTGCGAAACGCCCACCATTACAGTACCCCCCGCCTGTGCCTCGCAGACTCTCTTTCTGGTACCGCATGTGTGAAGCTGGGTACCCCGCAGAGCACGTACTCACCCCTCCTTCCCCTCCAGGCCAGCGGCAGCCGGAGGCTCAGCCCGTCTTCCAGCAAACTCCTGCAGTAACGCAGCTCCTGAGTGACCGGCACACGTCCTCCGAAGGCGGGAAGCAGCCAGAGGTGCGAGCCCAACACCCTTCACGGGCTATCCGGGCACCAAACTGCTGATTGTCCGCTGCCAGTGCCCACCCGAACCCCAGCTCTGGGCACTCTGGGCCACCCTCTCCCCACTGCTCAGCCAGGTGTGCCCGCCTCTCCCCTGGCCTCGTTGGGCTGCTAGCCCACAGCTGTGAGGAGAGCTGTGTGAGCCCCCTGCGATGTGAGGAGAGCTGCGTGAGCCCCCTGCGATGTGAGGAGAGTTGTGTGAGCCCCCTATGCTCTGAGGAGAGCTGTGTGAGCCCCCTGCAATGTGAGGAGAGCTGTGTGAGCCCTCCATGCTGTGAGGAGAGCTGTGTGAGCCCCCTGTGCTGTGAGGAGAGCTGTGTGAGCCCTCCATGCTGTGAGGAGAGCTGTGTGAGCCCCCTGCAATGTGAGGAGAGCTGTGTGAGCCCTCCATACTGTGAGGAGAGCTGCATGAGCTCCCTGCGATATGAGGAGAGCTGCGTGAGCCCTCCATGCTGTGAGGAGAGCTGTGTGAGCCCCCTGTGCTGTGAGGAGAGCTGTGTGAGCCCTCCATGCTATGGGGAGAGCTGTGTGAGCCCCCCGTGCTGTGGGCAGAGCTGTGTGAGCCCCCTGCGATATCAGGGGAGCTGTGTGAGCCCCCCGTGCTGTGGGCAGAGCTGTGTGAGCACCCTGTGCTATCAGGGGAGCTGTGTGAGACCCCCGTGCTTGTGATGTTAGGGGAGCTGTGTGAGCCCCCCGTGCTGTGGGCAGAGCTGTGTGAGCCCCCTGCGATGTGAGGAGAGTTGTGTGAGCCCCCTGCAATGTGAGGAGAGTTGTGTGAGCCCTCCATGCTATGGGCAGAGCTGTGTGAGCCCCCCGTGCTGTGGGCAGAGCTGTGTGAGCCCCTTGTGATGTTAGGGGAGCTGTGTGAGCCCCCCGTGCTGTGGGCAGAGCTGTGTGAGCCCCCTGTGATATCAGGGGAGCTGTGTGAGCCCCTTGTGATGTTAGGGGAGCTGTGTGAGCCCCCCGTGCTGTGGGCAGAGCTGTGTGAGCCCCTCGTGCTGCCCCCTGCCCGGCCGCCCCTCAGCAGCCAGGGCAGCTGCTCACAGCCACGCTTGCAAAGACGCGTCTGCGGCTGGAGGTACAGCTGTGCATCTATGGACGTATCTGCTGGGTTTTCCATGCATTCCAGAAAACCAGCCTGGAAATGTAGCATAAATGCTTCCCAAGGCTTCATCTTCCCTCACAGCTCTTCAGGTGCTGATGAAAAGAGTAAAAGAGGCCTAAAAAGTAAAGCCTATTTTACTGCTTACTGCTGTGTGTGTTCTCCAACCAGTTAATGCTTGGCTGAACCATGGCTTAGCTCTACCAGTTACAGAAAAACCACAGGTCAACCTCCCCCTGGCAACGGGGGAGTTGCTGCCAGATTTGGTGGCAAGCGGATTCAAACACTGCGATGGCCCCCGTTGTGGAGAGCTGTGCCTCGCTGCCTGACATGTTTTTCTTCAAACCATCCCATGGGTGAAAGAAGCACGATCAGCCTCATTTTATCAGATGGGGAAATAAGTCAAGGGTGGGGGAAATAAGTATTATAATGTAAAGGCTGCAGAAAAATTCTGTGGTGTGCAATAGGCTAGACTGAGCATAAAACTCTCCCTCTAGAGAATAACTTAATGCCCTTTACAGAAATCATGTCTGGTGGATAACTAATTGAAAGTGTTGCTCAAACGACCATACAGGTCCAGGTCCAGGTCCAGTTGTTTGGGGTTTTTTTCCTCTGCTACTCTATTGTTCTGAATCTCTGCCCTGACAGCTGAAAAGCCCTCCCTTCTCATTTCCCGACTAAACATGCTCGGTCACGTCGGAACAGCTGTAAAAGGGGCTGACAGTGGTGTGCCGCTGGAACAAGCCAAACCAAGTATCAGGATGTACAGAAGCAAATGTCACACAAGGCCAAGCAGGTACTTTTAAAAATCCCATGCTGGCACAAAGCCTGCGTCTCACTGATGTCCAGGGGCTGTTTTGCCACGTTCTCAATGGCACCAAAATGTCACAGGTAGGTTTTTATAGGTACAAATCAAGTGAAAGTACTCTTTAGTAAGACAAACCCTTCTAAAACAAAGAAGACGTCAAATGACTGTGAGGTCACACACTCAATTATGGTCTTTTGTGCCAGCGTGCACTGGTAATTCTCGCTCAGGGATTTGTGATGAATGCACCAGGAACACAGTTGTGCTTGAAACTGCCAATGCCCATACGCTGGTTGTATCACAGCGAACACACGGTCTAGCAGAGCTTTTGTATGAACACCTTGCTGCACTTAAAAATGTTGCTGTAGAAGCATTCTGCTTTCTGATTTTGAAAAATGTAAATTTTATTACAGCTTTTAAGACTTCATATATGATTTTATAGGGCACTATATAAGCTGGCCTAGCATTCTGAAAACCAGCAATCCTTAACCCAGAGCCACAGTCAGGAGCTTTACAAATGTCTTTTCATTTCTTCATAAATTATCCTCTTCCAAGATTAGGAAAACACAAGTAAGTCACTGAATCCACTTTGCTGATTTGCCACATTTTTCTGAACAACAAACAAGAACATTTCTCTCCTCTGGGGGGGTCAAATTTCATCAGCAATGTTGATTGCCTTTATCCATGAATTAGAAACCTAGTTTGGTAGGTTAAAAAGTACATCCTCATTCACGCCCGTATCCTTAAGAGATGTTCAGGTTACAATATTCCCAGTCAATATTGTGTGGCTGTTTTTTTGGCTCATGCAGGCACACAATTCAAACCAGCTCGTAATTACTAAGCAAGACATATGAAGAGCAGACAGACGGTGTTTGCACGCGCGTAACGTGGGTACGTAGCTAAGCAGCTTACCCCCGAGTCACATCGATGGTGAGGAGCACTAACCAGCACAGAGCTCAAATTGTTCATATTCCAGTTCACACTGCACATTGCTCCCACAGATACTTCTAGAATGACCGGTTATTTTAATGAAATAAGTATTTCCTCAGAAAAAAAATTATTAATGTTTCACATTCTTGGTTCTAGTGCTTCATTTACCAGTGTCACACATGCATGGGTTACACAAACACAGATGGGGCCAGAAAAGCTTACTTCTTTTTGTATTGTCAAGACAGTTTGATTTGTTTTATCTCCAAGGAACTTGGGAGTCTGTAAGAAGGAAAAGTGCTGGAAAATAAGAATATAACCTTATGTACAGAAGGGAAAAAAAGCAAACAATAACATTGGCCTTCAGTCAGAGTTGCTCCATTTTGAGTTTCCACTGGTTGAATGCTGCAACACAATTTTAGTTGTCACATTACTGCAGGATTTTCTGATTTGGCGTAGGTGTAATGCATCCATCATGAACGTTGGGCCTACTGAAAGAAAACACCACAGGACCACCCTCCAGGGTGTCCAGGAAAATTCTGGAAAATCCATGGACCTTGCTGGAATCCACAGTACCTCCTTACAGTTTGAGGTACTTCAGGTGGAAGGTGTTCACATAGCGATGGCTGAAGATAAGCAGATCCAGATAAGCTGCTATGTTTGGGTTGAACATGGCTGGATCTCTGGTAGCTACTTCTTCGGTGGTTTGGGGTTTTTCTTCAGTTCAGGCTTTTACTACTACAATAATGGGGTTGCAGGTGTGGATATATGGTTTGTTTGTTTGTTTGTTTTTTAACTGGACACAGGAATTGTCACTTTCCTTTCTGAATTGTCAGCTACTCACCACTGTTGGACAGCTTCCTAACTCATTTCAGAGGTCAGTGTATTGATACTACTACATACAAATGAGTAAGTCACCCTAAGACTCTGCAAAAGCACAGACAGTAATTTAAACAAAGTAGTACGAGAGTGTATCACTGCAACCGTTTCCACAATGTGCCAGTGGCCAACCGCTACAAAAAACATGTAACTTAGTTTGTGATGACCTGCTGTTGAAGGAGGACAATCCCAAAGGGATCAGGATTAAATGACAGAGCCCTTAGCTTCACCACAAGAAATAAAAATTATCTCAGTCATTCAGGAAGGCAGAACTAGTAGTTTTAACTACTAGCACAAGAATCCTATTACCAGATCAAGGCCGCCTGAACTCACCTTTTGCAAACACGTAGAGACAAATTCCCCCGGAGAATTGACAAGTACGTACCGGAGCAGAGACCGATGAAGAGACACCCCAGTGGAAGCGCTGAAGGAGGTGGTGGGCAACACGGCCAAGGCACTGTGGCTTCAGGCAGCTCACAGCCCCATCTGCTCTGTACGGCTTAAAGGCCCGCAGGGGTTAATACGGTTAACTTCTAGCTCCTCCGCAGAGACAAAACTACGGAAGTGAATGTCTGCTTGTGGATATTTTAAACAAAAAAGAAAACATATGGCCCTCTGAAACTATGCTTGCTGTTTCTCCTGCTGATATGACCCAGAGAACAGATAGCCTAGGCCTAGAACTAAATGCAAAAGCTTTATTCCCAGGAGCAATTAGAGAACAATTTAGGCAACACGTTTCAATTTTAAGTTCTCAGATTAGCAAAGTGGAAACACAAAAAAGTTGCAAATGTTCACATAGACTAATACAAAAATTTAAAGGCACAAAATATCTTAGCTGTATAAAACAGCAGTTTCTTACCCATGTGAGGAATATTTCTGTGAACTGTGAAAGACAACGTAGAATTAATAATTCGAAAAGCTTTTTCTCTCCCAGACATTATTTTGTGATTCTACATATGGACTAGTAATGAGCAAAAATTAAAACAAAAGAATGGGCTTAATGCAGAAGGCTGAAAAGAAATATCAGTGACTTCGTTTACAAAATCAGAAATTTCATTAAAAGATGTAATCATGTGGATTAAAACCACAGGTGTCATAAATAAATAGTGGAGGGCAGCCACAATGCCCATCTTTAAATGCAAGTCTTGAACCATGCCGGTAAATACTTCACAGCCCAAATTCATGAGTTAGTCTGGGCCCAGGCGCAGAGCCGGTGGGGGCAGACACAACCCCACCGCCTGCCGAAACCCAGCAGGAGTGCCCGGGGCTCGCAGGGGGCTGGAGCTGGGCCCTCCCCAGGGGTGGCAAGGCCAGGAGGGGTCTTCAGAAGTCACCTAGTCCAGCCTCTGCCAGAGGATGAACTGTGCCTTAAACACTGCCAATGTCTAAAGTCTTCTTTGTTTAACCGTTACTTTAAAACTTGCGTAAATGATTTTATAACGTTCTCAGGAAATGTATTGCAGGGCTTTGCAAAATTACCGTCAGGATTATTTTCTCCTAATGCCTAATCTAAAGGTAGGCAATAATTTCTTGTCCTATGAACAGGGGATTTGGAGAACAAGGTTCTGGGTTTGGTTTTTGTTTTTTTTTTACTGTCTTCTCTGCAATAGCTTTTTACAAATGTGAATACTCCTTTAGTCGTTGCTCCTGCAGACTAAACAAACCAAATTCTTTCAATTTTTACACACAAAACGATGTCGTCTAGCGCTCTCATCTTTCTTGTCTCTCTCCACTGGACTCTTTCCAATTAGCCCCCAACCTCCGTCAAGTATGGTGCCTTAAACTGGATATAGTATTCCAACTCAGACCTCGTTAGACCTTATCAGGCCTAATTAGAGTAAAAGGTTATTCCATGTGAATTTAATGGGGAATACTTAGTTATTCAGTCTTGTATAAAATTTGCTTTTTCACAAAAACATGACATTATTGACCCATGATTAGCTTGCCACTCACTGGAATCTGCACGTCCTTTTCCACAGAATTACCACAACTAGCCAGGCCTCCTCCATCCTCTGTCACTTCAATTCAATACTTTCTATTTGTCCTTAATGAAGTGAATCCTACTTATGTCACCTAATTTCAGCAATTAATTTCAGTGACTTCTTGTTCTAATCTATTCCTCTGATACACTTTCAGCCTTTATCGGCAATAATTGCTTGTAAATGAAATATCTATTGCATAATCCAATATATTTTATAAAGTATCAATGTTATTAGCATAAAATTGATCTAAGTAAAGGCCTCGTTACTACACCCTCCTAGGTGACAGTGAATCACTAACAACCACCCTAAGTACAAATCACTCTTGCAGATCCATTTAAACTATGCTTCCTGCACTGGCTATGAAAATGTCAAAAGCAGTCTCTACCAAAAGCCCCTTACCAAAACCAAGATGCGTCACCTTTGCAGCTTCTCTGTTCACAAGTCAGTTATGCTGTCACAGAAGGAATTATGCGATAGCATTTGTCTCCTATGGCGTTTCCCCTTTTCTCTGAAATTGTGTGTGGAAAAAAGAGAACTCTGGAATTGAAAATGAGATGTAGGAACTATTTTCCATCAGAACAAACATTAAAATCAACTAAAATGCATATTTCAATTTGTGAAGATCTTTAGGATAACGAAAACCATGAAGATAACAGCAAGAACTCTGAACTTTCAGATTTTGTTCAGAGATACCTCACAGTAATGCTTGCATGTCTGAAAATGTATTTTTAAAGAA